TAAGGTCTCTTGGTTTCATAAAAATTTTAGGATTGTTTGTTCCAGCTCTTTGAAAAATGCCGGTGGAATTTTGATTGGGATGACATTGAAAGTATAGATTGCTCTGGGCAGTATAGACGTTTCAACAATGTATATTCTTCCAGTCCTTGAGCATGGAATGCTTTTCCATCTTTTTGTGTCTTCGATTTCTTTCACGAGTATTCTGTAGTTCCTTGAGTACAGATCCTTTACTTCTTTGGTTAGGTTTATTCCCAGGTATCTTATGGCTCTTGGTGCTATAGTAAATGGAATTGATTCTCTAATTTCCTTTTCTGTATTTTCATTGTTAGTGTATAAGAAAGCAACTGATTTCTGTACATTGATTTTGTATCCTGCCACATTACTGAATTGCTGTATGAGTTCTAGTAGTTTGGGGGTGGAGTCTTTTGGGTTTTCCATATAAAGTATCATGTCATCTGGGAAGAGAGAGAATTTGACTTCTTGTCAATTTGAATAAATTTTATTTCTTTTTGTTGTCTGATTGCTTTTGCTAGGACTTTTAGTACTATTTCGAACAAGAGTGGTGAGAGTGGACATTCTTGTCATGTTCCTGATCTCAAAGGGAAGGCTGTCAGGTTTTCCCCATTGAGAATGATATTCGCTGTGGGTTTTTTCATAGACAGATTTTATGAAGTTGAGGAATGTTCCCTCTATCCCTATACTTTGAGTCGTTTTAATCAGGAACAGATGCTGTATCTTGTCAAATGCTTTTTCTGCATCAATTGAGAGGACCATGTGGTTCTTCTCTCTTCTCTTATTGATTTGTTCTATCACATTGATTGATTTGTGGTTGTGGACCCACCCTTGCATCCTTGGGATAAATCCTACTTGGTTATGGTGGATAATCTTTTTAATGTTCTGAATTATTCTAGATAAAATCAGGATCTGGACTCAAAATCCCATTCTACTAGTTTTATCCAACTTTTAGAATGAATGTAAAGTCCAATTTCTCTTCTAAACTATAAGTCAAACTGTCTTTCCATCAAGCAGGATAAAGAAAGTCTCAATTGGTTTATTTGTTTCATATTAGGTGCAGAGACTTCTAACTTCACATGATAAAACTCTGAGAAGTGCAGAGTCCAGAAAGCATGTAGAAAAGGGGATTTATTCCTTTCACTGTTCTGAAGAAGATTTAGATAACATGAAACAGTGGGATTCCTTTGTGGTGGTGATTTACATATTCTGTCATTTGCTAGAAATGAAAGATACTTTATTAACAAAAGTTAAATTACTAAGGTCTATAAACAGTGATATTTTACTTTATTATTTTATTTGAGTACAGTTGACACATAACGTTACCTTAGTTTCAGGCATACGACTTAGTGATTTGATAAATTTAAACATTATACTAATGTTCACCACAAGTATAGCTGCCATCTGTCCCGTTACATTGCTATTAAAATATCACTGACTGTATTTCTTATGCTCTGCTTCTTATTCCTGTGACTACTCATTCCATAACTGGGGGCCTGTATCTCCCTCTCCCCTTCACCCATTTTGCCCATTCACCCACCTACTTCCTTCTGGAAACCATCAGATCTCTGTAATATATTTCTAATTCTGCTTTTTGTTTATTTATTTTTAAAAGATTCCATTTTGAGTAGAATCATATTGTATTTGTCTTTCTCAGTCTGACTTATTTCACTTAGCATAATACCCTCTAAGTCCTTTCATGTTGTCTCCAGAGACAAGATTTCACCCTTTTTTTATGGTTGTATAATATTATAATATTTGTCCATGTGTGTGTGTACACCACATTTTCCTTATCCACTTGTCTGTTGATGGACACTTAGGTAGCTTCCACGTATTGGCTATTGTAAATAATGCTGTAATAAATATATGGTGCATTTATCTTTTTGAGTTAGTAAGCACTGATATTTTAATATAAGCTTATAAAATGTTTTCATATATCATTTGTGTCTTTATTACTGTTCTTTGACCATTATAATACACCTTTAAATAATCTATCTTGAAATGCAAAGTATGTAGTCAGAATACATGTAAATGAGAAAACCCCCTTTATCTTCTTAAAACAGACTTTATCTGTATCAATATACTTGCACCTTGTATCTACACACCCAAATGATTGTTTCTGTCATATTGCTAATTAAAATTCATTCATTCATTCATCAACTTATGTTTACCAATCACACCCTTCTGTGCCAGATTCTATAAGGGGTAGAATAATTCCACTTCTCTTACTGGGGGGAAAAAAGACAGAGATTTTTGCCCAGACAGACCACTATTTTGAACTTAATTTTGTGAGCTACTCCTCATTTGTTTTCGTTGAATATTTGATTCTTTTTTTTTTTTAAGATTTTATTTATTTGACAGAGAGAAACACATCGAGAGAGGGAACACAAGCAGGGGGAGTGGGAGAGGGAGAAGCAGGCTTCCCGACGAGCAGGGAGCCCTACGTGGGGCTGGATCCTAGGACTCTGGATCATGACCTGAACTGAAGGCAGATGCTTAACAATTGAGCCACCTGGGTGCCCCATATTTGAGTCTTTTAAAACTATTTGCTTCCACAGTAATTTAATCTAGGATTTCATTATGTTGTTTCCTCTTTTATTTTTTCCCGTCCTTTATTGATTTAATTTTATTTTGTCATATATAAAGAAGAGTAAGAGCATGAATTTTAGGTTGAGAAAAAAATCCATGTTTCCAATTATTTATAAATAATGAGGATAATACATAATAATCCTTATTCTAAATCTTTATTTTAATAAGGATTATTAATTTCTAGGCATTAGAAAAGTCATTTAAACCATATCTCACTAGTAATCCCATCTGCAAATGAGATTAAATTTACCTTAGAAGTTTATTATAAAAATAGAATTAATTTAAATGTATATGTATACATAAATAAATAAATAAATAATAAAGTGTCCCTGGCATTGATGATTATTCATTGATATTTATGTATACAATTTTTAATGCTGTTTGTAGTCACTAAATCATATTTTCAAGAGAATATTTTTACATTAAATGCAACCTACTAGAAACTCAATAAATACTGCCACATGAGCTGTATCTAAAATATGTTGGAGTAATAAATTCAAAAATATTTTCAGATACTGCTAAAAAATAAAGATCCAGGCAATTCCCATGAAAGATATGGAATTATTCACATTAATTTTGATTTTGGATTTCTATCAGGGCAGGACAATTACCAATTCTTCTTTTTTAAATTTATAGTATTCACAGAAAGGGAATATATTTAAAAGTTTGAGTAATGGTAATTTATTTCTAAATACTTAAATTTCATATTCAATGAGAATGGTAAGCATGACTCATGCTATTAAAAAAGAATGATATTTAGCATATATTTTTAATATGAAAATGTGCCATGATATATTGCTTTCAGTACTTCCTTACTTTTTACTGTTTTAAATTCTTCATATAATTCTCAAAATACTTTGTTTAAATTGAATTTTCAAGAATCTGAATGTTACTAAAATAATGAATATACAATTTAATCCTATACACGATATGAATAGCATATTCAGAACACCTACCTATCCTATGAAGGATACTTTTATTCTATAGTTATGGAATAAATATGGCTATCCCTGGAAACTACCTAAAAAAAATCTCTACATTCCTTATTGGAAAAAAATTGAACGAGGCTTCATTATCCTTTGAGTTTGGAAATTGATACTAAAGCTTGAATTATTAGCTTCCTTAGTTTTCAAGTATATTTTTGTTTCTCATAAATGCAGCAAATTTAATTTACTTCTCAGAATAATAGAAGGAAATGATTATATGCTTGACTGTTGTTTCTTCTGATCTGTGGACACACAAGATAATCAATGGGAATGAGTTAAGTATTTATTGCATGTAACAACATTTTGATAGTTTTTGTTTGTTTTTTAACTCATTCCTTAATACTCTCTACAAAGCCCATCCAACCCCTGAGGGCTACAGTACAATAACCTCATCTGTCACTTTAGTCACATTTTTGACACTTGTGCTTTAACTGCCAATACTAGTTGAATTACTATATTATATTGTTAGATGCCTCCAAGTAATTAAAAACTATTTTTAATGTTTGAGTCAGATCTTTCTGATACAATCAAAATGTTATTTGTTGATACCTTGAAAAATGCAACAATGTAAAATGGTCTGGACATTTACTCTGCTAATGGGATTGCTAGTGTTACAGAGTTCTTTGTAATATTCTGCAAGTATACATCTAAGTAAATATACTTTCTTCCTGGTGATTACCTACATCTCCAACCTTTTCAAAATTTTATGTCTGTTTTATCTTAGTTTCCAAGGGTGTCTCACAAATGTTCATGGATAATACTTTTGTGAATCTACCCTGCTTTATTGATGTCTGTTGTGTACTCTGCTGGTTAAGTCTACTGGGATAGTCCACTGGGACAACATCGCTACTCTAATGCATTGTACATTCTACTGGTACTAGCAAGGCTGTTCATTTTGAAGGTTTTTCAGAAAGCTTGTGTTCCTTAGCATCATTAATGCACTTGACATGTCAATGTATTCCTTGTGCAAGAGGGAAGAATATTCTGCCCCTTTCCCTTTGTGCTCATTTGTTTTCTGTTCACTTGTTATCCAAAGTCTAAATGTTAGTGATCTACTTGAGAAAAGAATCAGATTTGAATACACTAGGTATAATCTGCTATCCTGGAGAGACATCATCATGTCCTGTAACTTGCCTCTCTCCTGGTGCTTATCTGCACACATACCTCTATCTCTTTTAAGCAACAAGCAAATTCCTTTTATTTCCCAGTGCATAGTATATTTTAAATGTTTCTGATTTTTTTTAGGGTTCAGTAGGTATCCTGACTACATTAATGAATATGCAATAAACATATGCATATATATGTGTACATTTTTATGCCTACATATGTCTCCTAGAAAGAATGTGAACTTGAACTGGCTAACTTTGGATAGAATCAGAGTTCTCTGACATACTGGCTTCCCTTCTCTTACAGGTGACAATATGTGCCGAGGAAATAACGGGGGCTGTAGTACACTGTGCTTGGCTATTCCAGGAGGCCGAGTCTGTGCCTGTGCTGATAATCAACTTCTAGATGAAAACGGGACAACTTGCACATGTAAGTTTTGTTTGTCACATTCATTGATTATACATGTCTTTTTGAAGAAAAAAGCAGATGAAACCAAAAGAATTAAAATCTATCTTGGAAAGAGAATTGCAGGTAATTACTTGGGTATAATTCTCTTTATATTACAAATAATTAACTGAATTGACTTCTATGAAAAACAGTTGAATAACGGTGAAATTTTCCAGAGCATTTGTGATTGCTGCATAATAGTTTAATAATAAAATATAAATCAAATAGTTTAGTAATAAAACATACATATAGAAAATAATTTATATATATTTATATATGATATATACAGTTTATATCTATCATTTATATATTTTATACACATAATCTTACATTTATAAAATATATATAGAGAAATGTTTATTAATCATATATATGTGTGTGTATATACGTGTGTGTGTGTGTATATAATATGTCACAGAAGAAAATATTTCATAAAATTGTTAAGGACCTTCACCATTAGGACAAGCTTGGTCTTCTATTTTTATTGGTGGAGAGGAAAAAAAAAAGGCAAAAAAGAGACTTAGAGAAATTCTAAGCTTTATCAAAATACTGAATTAATTGGATTGACTGACCTGGATTAAAGGCACTTTATTAACTTTTACTGACCTTCTTCAATTTACTGCATCTTGTCATTCCAATGTGACCCTTTTGAAATTTGTTCTCTTTATCTATAACAAGTCCCTTAACCATACTGATAAGAGCAATGCTGTGTATGTAGAGAGTAATATAGAAATGTTTCTAGAATGATTTGATTTTGATTTTTCAGAGAAATAGAACTAATAGGATGTAAATATAGAGAAAGAAGTTTGTTATGAGGAATGGGTTCATGCAGTTACAGAAGCTGACGACTCCCAGAATCTGCAGTCAGCAGGCTGGAAACTGAGGAATACCAATGGTATAGCTCCGGTCTGAATGCTGGTAGACTGAAGACCCAAGAAGAGCCCCCTTCAGTTAGAGTATGAAGGCAGGAAAAAAAAAAAAAAAAAAAAGTCCAAGTTCAAGGCAGTCAGGCAGCAAGAATTCCTCGTATGTGCAGGTCGATAGGCCTTTTCATTCAGTTCAAACTGTTTTGGTATAAGGGCCACTTACCTGCTTAATTTAGTCTACAGATTCCAATGTTAATTTCATCTAATTAACTCTCACAGACACACCCAAAATGATATTTGACCAAACGTCTGGGCACTCTAAAACCTACCTATTCAAGCTGACATGTAAACTTAACCATCATTTTTCATCATTATTATTGAATAATACATAAATAATACATAAATGCATTTTTCCATCAATTATAAGTATTGTTTTGGGGGACGCAGAAGGAGTCTTTAAGTATAATAAAGAAGATTTCAACTTATCTGAAATGTTTTATTTCTTCTGAAGAAAAAACAATGTGAATTAGAGATTTTTACAAATGATTTAATACATAGTAACATTTAAGAAATATACAGAAAATATTTAAGTGAAAAAATACACCCAAATGCCACTATTCAGCAAGAAACAATTAAGACATTTTCATGTTGTTCCTTATAATTATATATCCCTGGAAGTTATTGTTTTTTACTACTACTACTACTAGTCATAGATAAAATTTATTGAATTCTTATATAGGACTTTACTATAAATTTTCATAGTTCTCATTAGCTCTTACAATAATCATATATTGGAGATACTATTATTACCTCACTTTAATATTCAGAATGTAGACTTGAGGGTTAATAACTTTTCATAATTCACATAATTGGCATGTAGGACATTTGGAATTTAGACCCCAGATTATTTTATTTTGGAGACAGAATTCTTAGTTATATTGCAGTTTTACACATTCTGGATTACACAACAGTATCCTTTACTTAGTGGTTTATTTTTTCTTAATAGGAGAATAAGCATCTTATCATGTGACTACATATTCTTTTTAAACAAGCTTTTTAAATCATTTATCTTCATTTTTCTACTTGATGTTTGGTTTTATTTCTGATGGATTGTTATAGACTGTGTGTTTCTTTACTGTTTATGATCCCTTCTGTATTTTACGATATACTCCATTGTCAGTTTGTTACATTTTCTTTTTTAAGCACTTAGAATAATACCACCAGTTTTAAATTTTATTATTATTATTTTGAATTTTAACTATTTGAGATGAAGACTGATTTTCTTTATACTATTCTCTTCATCTTCCTCAATTTCATTCCTTATTATAATTTAGGATTTCTGACAAGGAACAGTATTTCAAATCATCATCAGTAAGTCTTTTTATAAAATGTTTTGACATGTATAGCTAGTTTGATGATCAATTTTATACTTTCTTTTAGAACTGACTCAGTGCTTCACTGGTTGTATTGCTTAGTATTCAAACTTTAGTTCCTCATTGTTCAATTATTAATTTTCACAATGTTTAGGATAGATAAAGTATTTCTTGAAGTTGCTTCTCCAAGATGAGCACAAAGACTGTATACTGTGGAGTTCCTGTGTTTTCCAAATAGGTTTCCTTTGCATTTATATGTGATTGACAATTCTGGATATTAGCTCTTGGCTAAGTTTTCTTCGAAATTCTGGAAATACTATTTAATTTATTCTGGGAAAATATACTTGAGAGTAGAAACATGAATTTTACTTCTCTGGGCAAACTTTTTTCATTGTTGGTAGGAATTTTATATTGTCTATTAGGACAATTCCTATAGAACGTAATTAAATGAAGTATACTTTCTTTGAGTCATAAGGTGGTTTCTTTTCTTTGTTCTGTAGTATTATTTTTTAATTCCTATTTTGTTGTCTAGGGAAGATATCTATCAAAACCTATAGTTTGTTAATAGGAAGGGATTAAGCATTACTTTGAACGATGTAATTCTTTCGGGTTGTCTGCTAGGCTAAATCTTATCTTGGTTATTGAGAGAGAAAAGTACATTTCTTAATTCAATTTTTAGTATCTACCACAGATTCATCTGAAGTTATTTTTCTAGTATAAAGTCAGATTTTTTGCTATTCCGGATAAATAATTTTGACACTTTGAACAGGTGAAATATGTGTGTACATGCGTGCATGCACACACACACACACACACACACACACACACACAGAGCAACCTCATGGACCTCCACCAAGTGTCAGCCTGCCTTTACTCTACCTCCATAATTCCTCTCAAAGATGAAAGGTAACAGTGCAAGTATATCATTTGTTGATAGATGCAGACCTTACAGTGGATGCTGCAGGAGCAAAGGGTCTTTCTTTTTACCTAAAGATAGATAGGCTTATTCAATTTTTAATGGTATAAGTTAGAGAAGTTTCTGGCTGAATGTTTAAATCTTGTCCTATTGGTCTTGCAATAGTCAAAATTCCCTTAAGATAGTGTCAGTCAAATGATCAAGAGACTGAGTTTTCAAAGATCTTGTGAATTTTTATCCTTCATCTTAGTTTTCATAGTGGGAAGTTAGAAGGAGAGTGTATACATCAGATATATCTAGATGGTTTTTTAAGCTTGAAATGTTCTAATTAGTTCTTTAATTTTAATTGTGTGAATCATAATTATCTGGATCATTGGCATCCAAATCATCTTTTCTATTTCCTTCATTCTATGCCCCATTAAAAAATTTATGGATTCCTTATGAGTTTGCATATCTATATACCTATATTGATATTGATATAGAAAAGATACTGACCACTGGATATCTCTATGTAAATAAAAATTGGGTGACTTTTGGTTTTTAAGGAAATACTGTATACAATATTGGTCATATAGTTGTGATAGGAAATTTGTTATGACATCACGTGATAAAAAGATAAAAATTTTTCTGTTACTACTGGTATCTTTCTAATATCTACAATCCCTTGTTGATGTAACTCCAATTGCAGTAAAAGAGATAAGGAAGAAGATTATTTTATCTATTCTTGTTACACTAAAAAATATTAAATCAACAAAACCATCTACATTCTTATTTGGGAATTTATTGTTGCATTTGTCTGTTTGAAATTCTACTATATCTTTAATAGGGCATGCAACTTGCCCACGTTTCTTTCAAATGCAATGGGAAAAATCATAAATAAGCATATAATAACTCATTTCTTACAAACAATTCATAGCATGTTTATATAAATTATTTCATTTCATATTACCTTAATGGCAAAAGTTTTTCAAGGATGTTATCCTTCAGACACATGAAAAAATGCTCAACATCATCCAAAGTCAGGGAAATATAAATCAAAACCACAATGAGACACCACCTCATACCAGTCAGAATGACTAAAATGAACAATTCAGGAAACAACAGATGTTGGTGAGGATGAGGAGAAAGGGAAACCCTCTTATACTGTTAGTGAGAATGCAAGCTGGTACAGGCACTCTGGAAAACAGTGTGGAGATTCCTCAAAAAAGTTAAAAATAAAATTACCCTGCAACCCAACAATTGCATTTCTTGGCATTCATCCAAAGGATGCCAAAATAGTGATTCGAAGGAGCACATGCTCCCCAATGTTTATAGTAGTAGTGTCTACAATAACCAAAATATAGAAAGAGCCCAGATGTCCATCAACAGATGAATGGATAAAGAAGATGTGGTATATACACACACATACACACACATACATATACACATATGCACACAATGAAATACAATTCAGCCTTCAAAGAGACTGAAAACTTGCCATTTACAATGATGTGGATGGAACTAGAGAGCATTATATAGACCAAAATAGATCAGAGAAAGACAAATACCATATAATTTCACTCATATGTAGAATTTAAGAAACGAAACAGATTAACATGAGGAAAGGAAAGAAAAATAAAATAAGATAAAAACAGAGACAGAGGTAAACCCTAAGAGACTCTTAACTATAGGAAACAAACTAAGGGTTGGGGGAGGAAAGGTGGGTGGGGATTGGGGTAGCTGGATGATAGGTATTAAGGAGGGCACTTGATGAGCACGGAATGTTATATGCAACTGATGTATCACTAAATACTACCCCTGAAACTAATAATACACTGTATGATAACT